TGTAACCAGCTATTCCTCTACTGGGAATTTTCCCAGAGGATCTGAAAACATCATATCATAGGGATATATGTGTTCCTATGTTTATAGCAGCACAATTTGTGACAGCCAAATCTTGGAAACAACCAAGATGCCCATCACCTGAGGAATGGTTGAAAAAGATGTGGTATTTTTCACAATGGAGTATTACTCAGCTATAAAGAATGATAAACTCGAAGTCTTTATATTGAAGTGGATGCCATTTGAACATATACTCATAAGTAAAATAAACCAGACACACATGTGTAAATATCATATAGTTTCCCAACTATAAGAACTCAAAAGAAGAAATTCAAATAGAAAGGTATAATACAAGTAAAAGGAAAGCAGGAACTCGAGGACTAACTAAGAGCGGGAAAGTAGAAGAGCCAAGAAACATAACAGTGACAAGCCATACAGTTATATGTACAAGATGGACAAGGCAATGATCCTGAGAATCTTCAGAAGATTTTTGAATCTAGCAGTTAATTGGAAAGATTCTCACCCTGACTAACTCTATATACTGATACCGGTGAACTAAGCAACTGCACTGAAGATGGTAATCTGTAATAGGTTCATTCTTGGAGTGCCTGTCATTCTGGTCTTCGGAATCTGGGCTGCTTGTCATGACATGCCTGTTGCTTCTGTGCTGTCTCTCGGGTAGATGATTGTTCAAAAAGAAGGCGGTGGTGAATGAAGGCAAGAGACAGGAAAAGGAATATTGTGCGACTGTCCTGCTTTAAGGTTTTATATGGTTAGATTGTTGGACTTATATGTAAACATATGAATTATATAATTCTTTATGCCTATTTTAAAAAATATATTCTAATTTTTAAATGTTTGTTTATCATATTCTGTAGGGACTTAAAGTTCAACATATCAATACCTGTTCCATGTTATGTCTAAGATGTTTGATATTAAGACAGATAGTGAGGTTAAGCTTAACAGCCTAGGTTGTATAGTAATAACAATAAACTTCTCTCCTGAGCATTAACAACGTAAGTTTGCAGACCAAAATTAGAGAAACAGGAGGGCTACAAGGAAAGTCAACATTTTGGCCCTAGCCTTCCAAGGTCAATTAAGACTCAGGACATATGAGAACTTGTAATGTCATGGAACTCGGTAGTGTCCCAAATTTTCTGATCAAGGAGATTATGGGACCAAAGAGGAAAGTGATCCATGATGTACAGTGTGCCTAAGGAGAATCACATGGAGAGCAAACATTCTCTCAGGCTTTCACATAAAGCACATTGGCCAAGCAATGGCCGTGACTCATCCATATGGCTGACACTGACAAAGGTTCTACAATCTGAGGTACAGGATCTCAGGATAAATCCTGAGGGGATTTCACTGACTTTATCAGATTATTAAACTCAAAA